TTGCAAACGTCTATACTTGCTCACCTTAAAAGTTGTTGCGTTTGAAAGGGTGGATGACGGACGATCCGATGAAAGCCTGGTTGACATGAGTTTGGGAAAAGTTGCCAGTAGCAGACCACGGCACGCGCTCGCTTCTCGCTCTCTATAGGTTTCCAGGACACTTGATGGAAAATGTGCGGGAGCAACTTTGCGCATCTGAAATAGACTTGGCCGTAATACCTGGAGAAATGACCGGAATGCTTCAACCAGTTGACGTGTCTTATGAACCGGCCGTTCAAGTGTGAATTTCACCTTGCGTACACTGAGCGGATGACGTTTTTCCCACTGATCTCCACTAGAGGGGGCTGGATGGCGCATTGAGCAATCAGGTATGAAGCCACCGGAAGTGAGCGGCTTGTCCCAGAAGTGAGCGCTTGGCAGGCTTTGTAACCCTTCGAGTGCTGGTTTGAAAAGCGTCGAGGGCGCTGGATTTTCGCATTTTCCGTCAAGAGAGCCTGATTGTTGCGCAGTAAGAGCGCATGCGGACCCGAGAAGTATCATGGGAAGCCATGCAATGTAAACATTTAGAGACTCTAGTTGATCAAGTTGTGAATATGTCCCAAGTTCAAATGCGCATTCTCGGGATTCAATCCAGAACGGGAGTATTAAAACCCAATCGACTGAATGCACTAGGAAGCCCAGCGCACGCCCGACTTCCGGGACAAGCATCAAACTTCCGGTGGCTCCACTTGCGCCGGGCTCGGAGAGCAGCTAAGCACCATCCAGCCCCCTGTAGTAGAGATCAGTGGCTTTTCCCTCTATATATCGAGAAAAAAAAAAAAAGAAAAAAAACCTGCGGCCATCTTACACATATGTTCGGATTGTGCAACATTACAGGGTGGAGTGGTACATATTATGCCAAGAACATAAAATCAATGTTAACACAATTATGGTTCTTTGGGTAACAAGAAATAAGGAGCATTTTTAAAATTGGGTCACGAATGGTTGCAATTTTGGTGGGAAAGGTGGTTTCATTCTACAGAAGTACAGAGGATGAACTGAGAAGAATGTGCATTCGCATCGCGTGGGAAGACCCCAAACCTGTTTTAGAGATCTAAGTGACAGTAAATATGTGAAGGGGGTAATTAGTTGGTCATGACGTGGGGAAGAATGGTGATAAATTTTGTGAAAGAGGGGTAAAAGAGAATACCATTTACATAAGGCAAGGTTTGGCAATGATAAGGAAAGTTTCACGGAGGTTACATTACTAGCAGTGTGATACTAGATAGAAAGTATGAAACACGTGGATTTGCTTTGAACAGATTCTATGCCGGGGTTCTAGATGTTGAGAAGTTTAACGTAACAGGACAAAAATTTATTCTCGGAAAATGAAGTGTGCGGTTAGCATCATTAATGACGTGGTTAGGTGCTCTGTGTAAATGTTCCATGAAAGCTCAGATGTTATGTAAACAGCGAGACACTTGTAATGACACAACCGAACTTGAAACAGGAGGGTTCTTGAGAATGCCATTTCCTGTGGGTGTCCTCTCATTGCAACCCAAGTTAGAAAGAGGAAAAAATGAGAGCAATGTTTTTTGAGCTGCACGTTGAGATGGTTGGGTCTTCTGGCGTCCAGCGAGCCAGGCGTGTTTGTGTTTGTAATCTGAACGCTTGCAACGGGATGCGGGATGACCTGTGCGTTTGAGAGGGTCGTCCAAGATTAGACTAATCATATAGCTGATAAAAATGGGGTTTCGGAATACAAAACTGCAGCGAACCCCGCTGTAATTGGAACGCGGGGTCCGGTGATGCTGGTCCTGTTAGACTTTGTTTGTTTGTGCATTTTGCGGGGAGGGGTAGTGGAGGTTGGTAGAGATAAATAGTTACATAACAAGGTGGTTAATTGGGCCAGTTGGTTCACATTGAAGTTTGAAAAAACACTAAAAAGATATGGGGATAAGTCAAGCAAACCGGTTATCTCAAGATATCTGGTCACCATCTCCAATGTAGTGGAAAACAGGATTAATGTCATGTTTCAATAATATGAACTCCATTAATATGAATATCTCACTATATAAGCAACATTTAGGGGGACAGACAGGGTTAATTTTTGCATTTTGTCTTTCTTGCGAAATATTCTCATTATGGACAATTTTTGGGGGAATAGAGGCATTTGTATTATTGAGATATGACTGGATCACTATTTTAACGAGCTGGGAAAAAGGTGGGAAATAAGAGCTGTACTGCGTGGGCTCAAACGTTTCTGGAATCAACTAGAATTGCTGACCACGTCTCATTGCCTTTGCACTGAACAAAAGTTCTCACATAGAGAGCACCCACCGTCTTTCCCCGCATGCCTCAAGGTTCTTTGTCACGACCGCATCACAAACCTTGCTTGTTCCTTTGAAACATTGGCAGTGGTTGCTTTGCTTCTGCAATCAAATTTGTATATCACTGGGGTATCTGCTAAACTGAAAAGCCTGGAGCTGTCGCGGAAATCGTCACAAAGTCAGTTAAGTCGGAGAAAATGAATGACGAGAGTGGTGCAGAGATGTGCGTGAGGGCACGGCATGAGTGGCCTTCCGCGGCTTTGAGATTCTTGGCGCTTATAGCATAGCTTCTCTGGAGCTCTGCAAGGTGATGTTTCTTCAAAGCCAGCGTCAGCATCAAAAGCATCAAGTGTGTGCACGCAGCATGGAGCTTGTATGTTTGTTAGCACTGCGAAGGCTGTATTGGCATCTCCGGTCGTGGAGATAACGGCCGTCCACGACAACTGGGCACTCTATGAGTTTCACATATTTTTAAACTTGTTTCAAATAGGGCAGCGGGCGTTTGGTATGTCCTTTGGCGATTTTTGAAATGTTTCAAAAGTATGGGACGGGTACTTATTGTGTCGTGAGCGCATGCTCGGTATTTTTAGGTAATGAAGGGGCCATGCAGCGATATTGGGTTGAAACATTGTCCACCTTACAGAAGCTTACTGTGACCCAAGTTTACTTTCACGCGACGCCACTGACTGGGATGCTTTTTTGTTGCTGTGTAATTTCGGTCTTAAACACAGATTTTTCCCATCAGTTTACAAAACTTGATGGCATAGCAACGGCTCATGGAAATGGCGCGTGCTGGTAAAGTTGAGGTGTTAGAGGAGAATTGCATAAACGTGTCGTTTTGACCTCGTCTTTTATATAGGTTAATTTCTCTCGAACACCGCATAGTAACTGAGATCCAATTGTTGTCACAGTCATGGAGAATTTCCACATTATGACATTACCGTAAAATCCGGAGAGATGCACCACCCCTGAAATGTAACCGGCCCCCTATTTTTGGCTCAATTTGCCATTTTCTTTTAAACTCCGAAAGACAGCCCACTCCTAATAATCCTAGTGTTGGGATCAATGATGACCTTGGCGTAACTGCGGCTAGTTAGCCATGGCGGAATATAAGCAAACATTGCTGATGGGGAAGTAGACATCTTTGCTTCACTGTCCCTCACCGCGACAAGAAGTTTGACGCAAACACAAAATTTAAAAATAGCTTTTTTTTTTTAAACTTTTCTCGATTGCACATTGAAAGTTAGCCCACTCCTCATTTTCACCCCATTTTCTTTTGATTTCAGGGGGGCTATCTCTCGGGATTTTATGGTATTCGAATGCAACTCATAGATTCACAAGCACTGCGTGAACACTTGGCTTTGGCTCGTGACAATCAACATCTCAGCGAGCGTTTGAGTAGAGGCCCGTGTAAAATTACTGCGGCGACGGGAACAGCTAAATGCTTGCAATGTCTCTAGCTCTTAATGCTTTGGGCTGTGCCAACCTAATTTATTTACAACTTCTACCGTGTGTAGACAAAAAATGTTGTCTGTTTCATAGGTTTTGGACGTCAAGAATACATTCCAAGCAGTATTTGCCTCAAGTACGGATATTGCATGCCTCCCTTAACCTTTTGGGGTCCTGTGACTTTTCACTTTGTCGGCACCTCAGGTCAGAATGATTTTACACTAAAAAGAATGCAGTCACTGTAGGGGTCAAAATATAAAATTCATCATCGAAGCCTCCATGAAAAACAGTTGAAAATGGTGGATCTTGGATTGTACAACAAAGAGCTTAAAAATCTTGGTCAGCACCCATGTGGGTGTCCAGCTTTGAGAAATGAGAATGTCCGTTGCGACGCAGAAACATTACAACTTTTCTCTGAGTGAGGATTCATCAGGCCCGCTTCAAACGGGGCAATTTCTCCCAGCAACTTAACTTCGTAACACCAGCAACACAGGCCGCTCGCATTCACACGCAGCAACCAAATTTCTGCGATTTGCCATCATCATCATCAATTTTATTTTTCTAGCACGATTTAGACACACAGTTACACGCTATAAACATGTTCTTATACCCTTAAATGGTGTTGAGAATACTAACTTATCTTTCTGAAACGGTTTATTCCCGAAAACGATCCATTTCAAACCTGAACCAAGTCCTTAATTGTCATCATCACAGTGTCACATGAAAATATTGCATCCCTGATGGCTGCTGCCGATTCAAATGTCTCAGAGTTGTCCGAGTTGCTCATCCGTTTCAAGGTGGACGCGATCCAAGCTGTTTGTGTCGGAGCATCAGGATCTATGGAAAGCTAGGGAACAAATCGCCAGCGACACCCAAATTGCTAGGAAGGTTGCTCCTTCTTCAGCAGACATCACAGAAACTTTCAGAGCCCTCTTGAAGGTTGTCTTGTCCTGTAAAATCACTTTTACCGTCACTTGGATTTAAAAACGAATGGAGAAATAGATGCCATGATAAACAATGCGTGAATGTATGAGCAAAATTCTGCTCGTCCAGAAAAAAACAAAGTAGAAAGAAGCGTTGTTACTTATGCCATGCTGTGTAGAGCTAAAAAGTTACACTCCCAATGATATAGGTGGCGCATATCGAAATTGTTGGGGCGCTGGCGACAGTTGACCAGAAATCAGAAATGAGACTGTCGGGGAAACAGGCGACCTCAAAGGACTGTGCCTTGGTGGCCTGCAGGTGTGCCACTTCACGTCACTGCCCCAGTGGCTGCAGGACAACGATTTCCTGCACAAGGGCCACCGTCCGCCCCTGCCCTCCTTCTCGGCCTGCTTCCGCTCCATCTTCCGCATCCACACCGAGACAGGGAACATCTGGACGCACCTCCTGGGTGCGCATGTCTGAAGACTTTTGGGGGGGGTCGTTCCTTGTCTTCAGAGACTTTTAAGTAGTGCCATCCCAATTTCTAGCAACTTTTATTGATGTTGTCTATCAATTTCTAGTGACTCTTAGGAACTATTGTCCCCGTTTCTTGGTGCTTTGGGTCACACTTCCCTATTGCGAGGGGCTTTTAGGCAGTGATGTCCCAACTTCTAAAGACTTTTAGAGAGAGACTGTTCCCATTTATAAGATTTTTAGGTTGTGCTGTCCTCATTTTAGGCACTATATGTAAAAAAATTCCTATTTCTAGGGATTTTTATGAGGTATTGTTCCCATTTCCAGGTGTTAAAGTCAGATTTGTCTTTTTGTGAGGACGTGTAGGTAGTGTTGTTCTAATTTCTAAGAACTTTTAGAGGTTATTGTCCCCTTTTTAAGCACTATGGATTGTGCTTCTCTATTTCTAGGGGCCTTTAGGCAGCACTAGAGAGTTTTAGTAGATAGTTCCGATGACTCAGATACTCCGCCGCTGCTTTGCGCATGCATCGTATCATTGTTGTGGATATCGGAACTATCTATTAAAACCCTATTGTCTCAATTTTCAAGGGCCTTATGAGATATTGTCCCCATCTCGAGGGTTTATGGGGCACGCTTGTTTTATTTCTGGGCACTGTCCCCATTTCCTTAGACTCGTAGGTGGCGTTGTATCTATTCGACAGATTCCGGTTTATTGTAGAAATAAATAGCGCGAAGGTCAAGTACAAACTGACAGAACAAGGGCGAATTCACAACTGTCTTTTTAATGTTTACAGAGAAGACGAGAAAGAGGAAGCGTTTCTTTCTCGTCTTTCTTTAGCCATGAAGAATTCCCAAAATGAAATTGCCTTGATGGGAAGAGGAAGTTACGTTGAAAGAACTGAGAAATAACATAAAAAAGAAAGGAGGACGTTACGTCAAAACATGAGAAATAACGGAAAGAAAAAGAAAAAAAGAAAGATGAAGTTGCTGACAGTAAGCCAATGAAACAACTTCAAGTAGGAAATATAAGGTAATGAAGTTGTTTGTCACTTAATGTCACTGATGGTGCACTGACACACGAGTTTTCCTTTTTTTTTTTTTGGTGCTCATTGCCTCGTATATTTCCCTTGATTTCTCCTTACGGAAACTTCGAAGGACCTTTGTCGCTGTAAGTATCGGTTTGTCTTCCGTGCACCGCGAGATGACCCGATGGTGTTGATTTTAGTGACGAAGCATGTTCACGTAACCTGGTGTTCATGCAACGGCCAGACTGACCAACATTTACTTGGCCCTGTACAGCAAGTTCAATACAGCTGATGCTGTAAAAAAACGATGGACAGGTTATGAATCTTTAGGCTCATAGCAGATATTCCACAGTCTTGCGGGGTTGCGGGTGGCCGTAGCCTGGCCTCAAAACGGCGGACGGCGTCTGACGAAGTTTTCCACCCTTCCCCCCCCCCAGGGTGCCTGGCCTTCACGGGGATGGCGCTGTACTTCCTGACGCGGCCTTCGGCCGAGATTCAGTGGCAGGAGAAGGTGGTGTTTGCCAGCTTCTTTGCGGGGGCCATCATGTGCATGGGCATGTCCTTCACCTTCCACACGGTCAGCTGCCACTCAGAGAAGGTCGGCAAGCTCTTCAGCAAGTGAGTGCCTGGCTCCCAAAGCCCCCCCGTCTCTTTGCCGCCTTTGTTCGGGGGACGCTGCACTCCCCAAAAAAATTTCTTTTAGACTGCCATCTCAAAATCCATTTTCCCCGAGGAAATGAAAGGAAAAATTAAGTGAAGCTATATTTACGCTGTTATTTTGATTGCAAAATATAGTGTTACATTCCGAGTTACTGAAAAAGTTTGCAGCTATCTATCAATTAAGCTGCCATGTGCAGAGTTGTATTTTATGAGAAGCAGGGCCGACTCTCACGTTCCACCTCGGCCTTCTTGACAAGTGCCTTTCTGAAACGTCACTTTGTCCTTCTTTTCTACCTTTTCTTTCTGCAGCCCGAAACATTTCCAGGCCTTTTTTCTCGTTTTCTTTTCGCGTCATTTTTTCACCATGGGCTCTAAATACTTCTCAACGATGTTAGCTATGATTTCTTGTAGATGGTGCATGGATTTTATCTCGCTAATACTGCAATACCTTGATCTAGATGTGTGCAGTTGCAGGGCTACCTAAGAGATGGTGCCAGTGTGGCAGTGCACTTGAACCTACCTTTAGGGGGAGCGATGCCATGCCAGAAATGCACGTGCAATCTGAATTAGCTTCTGTTAGAATGCAATTTTTTATATAAAGTAACTAATTACCATTACCTTAAAACGAGTAATGACTTACTCCACATGACTAAACCTGAGTCACAGAAGGAAGAAGGATGTCGCATATACATGGAGGTTTGCAACATTCTTAGTTGTCTGTGGACCACTCCGATAAAGAGCTTCCGGCAAACGGCATCTTCACAGCCCTTGTGTTTAGTCGCCGTATTTTCCGGTCTATAAGTCACGTCTTTGTATACGTCTGACTCTTTTGTATGGACACAGCCTCAGACCCGTGTCGCAAGGCTTCGGACCGCACTGCCAGAAGGGCAGGCCATCGGAGGGGTGCTGTGCCATTTCCCTTTAGTCATAAATGTTGATGTAACTTACATCTTGCACAGTTAAGGTTCATACCTATAAAGAAAATGCACATGGGTCTCACCATTACATAAGATGCGCCGCCAAAAAATGCTGAGAAAACAAATGTGACTTTTACACCGGAAATTATGGTAATCAGTTTGCCACAGAAGCCGCCGTCTTCCCTTGGACGATGGGCATGAACCGGCGGTGGTGCCCCCCGTCTCACTGCATGTGGCGGTGTTTCAGGCTGGACTACTGCGGCATTGCCCTGCTGATCATCGGTTCGTTTGTGCCCTGGCTCTACTACGGGTTTTACTGCGATTACCAGCCCAAGCTGGTCTACCTCACGGTGGTCATCGTACTCGGCATTGCCGCCGTGGTCGTCTCGCTCTGGGACAAGTTTGGGGAACCCCGGTACCGGCCCCTCCGCGCCGGTGAGGATTTCTTTCGTGTCTTTGCTACCCGTTTGAAACAGTGCACGTGACCGGAGGGGGAGAGGTAGCATTTTGGGTTTCCTAACTGAAAAATTATGCGAGCGTTGCCAACAGTTACAGTAGAATCTTGATGATATGATCACGGTTCATCCGAATTTTGGAATGGTAAGAATTTTTCCAAATCCCCGGCCAAAGTTCTTTAAAGGACACATGCAAAGGAAAAAAACATTTTTTTTAGACAGCTTAGATGGAAAAAGGATGTCATAAAACGATTTTACAACGAAGAAAAAAATTTTTTAGAGCTATATTTACGGCGCTATACGAATTTGTAGTTGGCGCTCGCGGGAGCCGCCGCTGGTCACGTGGTAGGCCCGCGCGCCGCCGCGCTGCGTCGCCGCCGCACGCTGAGCGTTGTGCGAACGCCGCTTCAACGCATTTCTCCACGCTGCCGTCGCCGCCGCTGCACAAGTCCGTCTGCTTCGGGGCGCCGCCGCCGTCGTCTGACCGGCGCACAGGTCTATCACGTCTGCTTGCGCTTTTTCAGGAGTTTCCTTTGAGCTCTAAAAGTTACTTATTCATCTTAGTTTTTTGTTATACACCAAACAAAGATGAATAAGTTACTTTTAGAGGCCATAGGAAGCTTCCGAAAGAACGCAAGCACCACGTGATAAATAAAGACCAGTCACGTGATAAATACGGACCACTTTTCCGCGGTGCCCGCGGGCGCCAACTACAAATTCGTTTTGCGCCGTAAATATAGCTCTAAAAATTTTTTTTCTTCGTTGTAAAATCGTTTTATGGCGTCCTTTTTCCATCTAAGCCGTTTAAAAAAAATGTTTTTTTCCTTTGCATGTGTCCTTTAAGAGGGCGCGGTACCTCTATTTATTCGTCCGTTTCAGCCACCAGATGGCGCGCGGCTCGAAACGTGGTTGAACGCGCAACTTCTAGATGGCGCCAGTATCGAGGTGTGAAAAGGCCCGCGTTATCCGCTGCGTGAAATAGATCCTGAAATCTGCCGTGTTCTCCCGGCGGAGGAAGTTTCTGCATCCCTCGCGCGCGCTTGGTATGTACGCGCGGTGACCGAGTCCGGCCTCTGCGCTGTGTGATGCAGTGGGTGGCGCTCGTTTCTGTTCGGAGGTAGGAATAAAAATGCCGGTCCCCTTTTTTACGACGCTCGTTTCTATAGCTTGTTTTTCTTCTTTTTTTTTTATCTCAAGTGACCTACAGTACCACCTGTTCGAAATCGTCCTTTGCGGTGAGCGATTGAGAGTCAGGTTAGCATTTTATTTGGGTCAGCACTACACGTTCAATGGAGACCTCGGGCGGCGATATATGCATTGCTCCCCAAAGTGTGTCCAAGGTGCGCAATGACAATTGGAAAGGGTATTGAAGGCGCGCGACCGTCGGTTGGTAAAATACGTGAGTTAGATTCACTTATTCAGTCTAATCATTTTTGCCAACGTCTTTTATCTGTTTCGACAAATGACATGGTCGAGTCTATTGATAACCTTAGCTAGATTGGACGTACGGAGTGTCCGGGCTTTAAATAAATTTGCTTCGTTTATGTGAATGAATAACTGTTTTCTCTTTTCCGTGCTCGGTGCTATGCAAAAATCGCTGAGATGTTATGGTAGCTCAGTGTGGCGGCGTTTTGCACGCTGACTCGCTATTGCATTCGCTGTGCACAATATGTGTTCAGATGGAATGTGCCAAATCGTATTTCCGATCGATATGATAGATTTACTTTGCTACAGTGTTAATTATATTTTCCTGATTTAAACTGGTTCGTCCCTGATCTGAGCCTAAGTTTAAATTCGAAGGGCAGACAGACTTAGCGTCGTAACAGCCGTAATGCGCAGAAAGAAATTAGTACCATGAAAGAAAAACAAAAGGATACGAGGTGGCTCAGTGTTATAGAAGTAACGAGTGTGCAAAGGATGGGATACGGTCCATTCGTCACATGCACACTCGTCACAGGACGATTGGTCACAGAACGATTCGTCACACAGGAACATTCGTCATAGGATGACTCGTCACGCGGCCAACCGGTCTCACAATAGTTCGTCCCCCCAAAAATGTATTGTTCAATTTGGTTCGGGCGGACAAAGGCGAAGAATTTGTAAGGAACGTTTTAGCTTCTGATTCGGTCCCGAACATTGAATGTTGGTTGGGCCTCAGAAAGTCGGTCACCTCTTATCTTAGCATGTCTTTCGCTTCTCGAGGTCAAAGAATTTGTAACAGACGTTCTAGCTATCTGGGTCCGTCCTGAACGGTGAATGCGGAGGCCATAGAAGAGCGACTATTTTTGAACTACATTCAAAAGGATGGAGGTGATCGCAACAGAGAGAGCCATGATGCTGCACGAGGGGTACTCGTACACATTCGGCAGAAGGAATTCCGATACTTGTTGGTTTTGTCGAATAGGTGTATGCAAGGCAAAACTAAAAACTAATTTGGCTGCCAGTCGGATTATTGCTCGTTCAAGCCTGCAACTGAGATCAACCTGCTGAAGACCCGTAATATAATGAAAGGAAAAGCGGATGAGTATTGTAATATTAGTTTATATAACCATTGGTTTACGTGACAGTGGAAAATTGTGAAACTCCTCATCAGGGTATGTAGGCAGATGTTGAAATTTACAATTTACTATCGTCCCCTGCTCGATCAATGAGACCAGTTGCCCGCATGACGAGTCATCCTGTGACAAATGTTCCTATGTGACGAATCATCCTGTGACCAATCGTCCTGTGACGAATCCGCATGTGACGAATCGTCCTCATCCCGCAAAGGATGCCATCGTACGTTTTTTTTTTTCTTTTTTTGTTTTTTTAACTCTCCGCATTGCTGGGAAACGCTCAAGGTACCAGCAAAGACAGCGAGCTGGCGTGAAATTTCCATCGAGCGGAAAACGAGTGTGACTTTTATTTCATCATGCGCTTTCATTTTGATATGGCTCAAAATGGGCGCGAAATAGTAACAGGTAAGGCAACAAAATTTAGATGTTAGGTCTGGAGCACCGCCATACTCAGCCGTGTTGGGGGCATCTCTCGCGAGTCAATACGGCAAAGGTATTGCGCGTCGAACTGTACGTGAGAGTTATCCATTTCAGCGAAACCTTGATTTCGCAAAACTATTGTGGCTCGAGTCGTGGCTTCCAGTACTTGAAAGCCACGAGCGAGAAATAAATGACAGTTGATTTTGAAGGACAATCGCGACGTGGAAACCCATAAAAGAGAGTTCCAATAAGACGAGAGCTTCCCCTTCTCTTCAAGTGCGTGGGTTACGCTCTCAATCCTGCACCGGTGGTAACACCGCAGGCTCCTAAAATGGCTTTGAAAACGTTCCTGATCGCAACAACTTTTTTTTTTTTTTTTTGTCGAGGCGCTATTTCATTTTTTTTACTTTTTGTCTACCTTGATACCCCATCAGCGCAAAAACTACCATAAACTAAAAAAAAAAAATAGTGGGCATACAACGACAACGCACCCACTGGGACACGTGTCAAGGCAAGAACAACTAACTACTAAAAGGGGAAAAAAATCATGTTCGCATACACAGACAGAACGCCTCCATCGAAAGAAATGAATCATGCGCTTGTTCTGCCAGTCTCGTTGTGCGTCTGTCAAAAGCCACAAAGGAGGAAGACAATCAGCGCCTACACCACTCCCCTCCACTCCCCCCCCCCCCCCCCCCCCACCACCCCTAAAAAGAAGAAAAAAAAGGTTTCTTGGGCGCGCGCGCGGTCGCCCAAGCGATGACCTTGGAAGGGTATGCGATTGTAGCACGTTTGTCCCCCGGTTGTGCCCCTGTCTCAAATGCCACGGTCCGTTTCTCCCAAGTGCCCGTCTTATCTTCCCGAGTATCAACTCCGCAGTGATTCTGAATCATTCCGATGCTTTCCAACGTTGCAAAACTGTTAGACGAATATTTGCACAGAAGTATACTCTGTTCGCAGAACTATCTACGGCGCTAAAATTCAAAAGCGCCGAGTTGGATTGGGGAACTCGTGTAGGTTTAGCTCATCGTTGGAACATTCTTATTCGCTCGATGAACTCCACAAAACGTGTAAATATTAGAATGAACTTTCCAGAGAACGAGAGTTGTTGTCGGGGTTCCAGGCGACCGGACAGGTCGCAATTATTGGCTGATTAAAAATTTTATTTCATAATCACAATCGTATCATCAAGGGCACGCCATTTCCTCATCACTTCTTCTACGAAAAGAGTTGCTGTATTCGTAGCACACACAGACGGAAACGGTTGAGACTGCCCAAATAATATCTTCTTTTGGCAGGTACTGCGCAGCGATTACACACAATGCCTCTAACATAAACATGCTGCTCCACATGTCTATTCACAAGATGCAATACATCGTTCTCCCAACTTTGTTGAAATGGGCATGAAAGCGCGTGACCGTCACTTTTTTGAAGTTCTACTTAGAGGTGAAGTGTTTACCGTAAAAAGTCGTTAATTATTTATTTTTTTCCGTTTACTACAAAGCTCGATTCCCTTAAATTTTTGTTTTTATATCGTCTCTACAGCGCTTTTACGTCGGTACTTTCGTGTTAGAGGACATCACATAATGTGCGAAAAAAACAACAAAAAAAACGGTAGGATCGATGCTGCATAGCCTTTTTTTTTTTTTGTGGACATCAAGAAAAAAAAAAAAAGATAGTAGTTGTCTTCACTTCGCACTGCATGTTTTGGCACGGAAGTTCCTATTTGGTTATGATGTCTTTACTTTCTTAAAAATTATATACAGTAATTTAAATTACCGAATTACAAAAACGTCGAAATTGTATAATTGCTTTTCGTTGGGACGCCATGACGACAGCGACACTCGTGTTCCCTCGTGGTTTTCGCCAGCATTTCTACGATGAATTGCCAGGATCGCGAGATGCAACAGCGTGACACTCCGTCTTCTGTGACGTCATTTGTTGCACTTCGGGACAACTTTTGATGTATGGCCAGCATAAGACGCTAACCACACCAGTCGGAGAC